CAAATGGCTGACTTTTCTCTTCAAAGAGAAAACAAGTGAATTTTGAGTTAAATTTGACACATAAACAATAATAGATGTAAATAAATATTATGGATTGATGAACTGGAACGTTTTCTTGGACACTACTATGTATAAGGTAAGTGACAGATGCGTGACTTGCTGTTTCACGCTTGAATCGATTGGGGAAATTTGTTACTATTTATAGATTTTAACCGCGATCTTTTCCGGACTTATTTTACATAATGAAGGCCTCATTCTACAGATGAGGAACCGTTGTAGGTTATATGTAATATGTATATGCAAGATTCCAACACGAGAGGCGATGATTTATACTCGAACCAAATTGGGAGGCTTGGGTATTGAGTTTTAGATGAAATAAAAAGCTATATTGCAATTAAATTTATTATTTCTATAATCAAATCTTCTCGATTTTACATTCAGAGTTATAATCCTAATTGTCCTTGTGCTGGAAAAAAAAACAAACAAATAATTTAATTATAGGATTAAGTTTATTCAGATCTACTTGGTGATCTACATCGTCGGTTGTTCTTTCTCCATCTTTCTCTCTATTTACCAGTCACGACGACAGTAAAAACTTCCGTTATTACTGAAGTTGTTTCTATCACAGATGACGGCGCAACAGCCATCTCTGGGGTGGACGATGATAGCATTGCTGAGGACGACAATATTGGTGTGGACGACATCATTTCAGAAGTTACAGGTTCAAACGACGTGATAACTAGATCAGACGATGACGTTGGTAATCTCGATGACGACATAAGTACGTCAGTTGATGACGTCATCATTTGGGACGATGACGTCACAATGCTAGAGGATGGCGCAATATTCTGAGCTGGTGAAACAGACACAGAAGAGTTTAAATCTACTCTTGATATAGTATTACGCCATAACTGAAGAAAGTAACGTGTCAGTTGATTTGGATGTCGCAACCAGAAACTAATTCGGGCTGCCAGATTTACAACTCCAGATGATTCTTTCTCTAATTCTAATAAATACAAAATATATAAATATTGATCAGTCCAATCATACTTGTTATAACATATGTTATCAGTAATACTTAAAATATCAAAATATATTTACCGTTAAGTTCAGTTTCCAATTGAGCGAGTTCATTAGCATCAACTTGTCCATTGGCTGAAAGAAAAACCAGAATTACCAAGTAAACTCGACATAGGCTGCTATGTAGTCAAAACATGTAAATATACATCAAGTTTTTCAAATTAAAGGTAAATACACACACGAATAAAATATGACGATACAGATGAATACAGTATTAATCCAAAAAATCAATTTGATATTTGTATGAGTTGACACGATGAATATATATATAAGTTCTCTCTTACCGTTAACATCAACTTTAGCCAAGATTTGATCAAGTTGGTCAGCATCTAAATTTAAAGCAGTTCCTAATTCTACTCGAGTTAAAATTCCATCTCCAAGAGCAGCGTTTAAAGCGGCGTCGATATCCAGGTTTAGGTTCAATAATCTTTTACCGAGGTTTAATCCTACATTACCATCAGCTGGAAATATACAAATCTTAGATTCTTTTCCTTTGTAAAGCTAGATTTTAAGCCAAATGCAAATTTGTTTGGCCTCCATCCATGATGGAGAGTTTCGTATGAGCTCTGATTACAGATTTTTTTCCATATGTTTGAAGAATTATACTAGTTGTTCAAAACATGAAAGTCCAGCATGCAAAATATGTTACTTACAAATCAATTTTCCAAACTTGACGTTAAAACCGACTAATTGCAGTTTACATAAGACACTCCTTAACGACAATCATAGTAAAATAAAATAACTTACCATTTAGTTGAGATTTTAGATTGGCAACTTCATCAACATCAACTTGTCCATTGGCTACAAAAATATAGAAAATATCAACTTATTTTTAGTGGATTTCAGCAAAAAAAAACCACTCATTTATAAAATCTAGTTGTAGTTGGATTAGGATATCACAAGATAATTTTATTATATTGTGCTTATCTGTTAATAAAAAGATAGTTGTAAAATAGAACGTTTGCAAACTACCGTTAACATCAACTTTAGCCAAGAGTTGATCAAGTTGGTCAGCATCTAAATTTAAAGCAGTTCCTAATTCTACTCGAGTTAAAATTCCATCTCCAAGAGCAGCGTTTAAAGCGGCGTCGATATCCAGGTTTAGGTTCAATAATCTTTTACCGAGGTTTAATCCTACATTACCATCAGCTGAAAAAAATGAAAAGTTCTATAAGTAAAGAGGCATGTTATTTAACGTGTCATTAACCCTTTCCTGTTGATTTATGACCACACCCGATCGACAGTGGCGTGTCTGCATTGATTGAAGAATATTTCATCCATGATCTTCTATATTTCTTAGATGGTCTACCGTATAGAATATTATTACACAAGAGTTAAATCTTACAAATCAATTTATCATCCTTGACGCTAAAACCAGTTACTGGCAATTTTTGTTAGGACGCTGCTTAATAACAATGATATTAGAAATAGAATAGGGCAACTTACCATTAAGTTGAGTTTTTAGATTGGCAACTTCATCAACATCAATTTGTCCATTGGCTACAAAAATATAAAATAGGGAGTATAACACCTAATAAGTATTAATATTAATAGAAAAAAACTATTTGACAGGAAACCCAGATTGCCAGAGGCAAATCTTCCCTGGTATCCTGCTAAACTACACCTACAATAATATATACACAATTAATTACATACAAGGAAATGATGAATAAAGGCGAAAAGAATGACGAAAAAGTATTAACGTGACGATAGCGCCTTTAAAGATACAAAAAAATAATTCATACATTGTGCAAATCTGTGAAATCGTATCAATGAAAAAAAAATAAATAAAAATAATCCACATACCGTTAACATCAACTTTAGCCAAGATTTGATCAAGTTGGCCAGCATCTAAATTTAAAGCAGTTCCTAATTCTACTCGAGTTAAAATTCCATCTCCAAGAGCAGCGTTTAAAGCGGCGTCGATATCCAGGTTTAGGTTCAATAATCTTTTACCGAGGTTTAATCCTACATTACCATCAGCTGATAATATAAAAAAAAAATTACATTAACAAAAACACTAACTCGCAGTTCTTTTTTCAGATTCTTTTCCTTTGTAAAAAAATTGGCCTTTATCCATTGTTGTGATACACAAGAATTCTAAAAATTCTTTAGAATATGAAGATTTGGTATGCAAACGATATGATTTTTAGATAAATGTTCCACCTTTGACGTTAAATTTGGTTACTGGCAATTCATACATAGTCTAGATACACATTGGAATCACAGTAAAAAAAAAACAACTTACCATTTAGTTGAGTTTTTAGATTGGCAACTTCATCAACATCAACTTGTCCATTGGCTACAAAAATGTGAAAAAAATAATAATTGTAGGATAGCTTTTAAAAATTAGGACAAGAAAAGATAGTCTGCGATATCAGCTTTGGATGTTAGTCATCTACCAACCTACATCAAAAGATACGTAGAGGGTATCCCTTACACTTATTCCTGCCTACACGTGTCTATAAAAGAACTCCCAAAATCCCAAATTACAAAAATAAACATATTACAAATTACCGTTAACATCAACTTTAGCCAAGATTTGATCAAGTTGGTCAGCATCTAAATTTAAAGCAGTTCCTAATTCTACTCGAGTTAAAATTCCATCTCCAAGAGCAGCGTTTAAAGCGGCGTCGATATCCAGGTTTAGGGTCAATAATCTTTTATGTAGTGGAGCAGCACCTTGGCTTCCAATTACCATAGCAACGAGAAAAATAGCCACACACTGCATTCTGTAAAATATTAGAATTGAAGTTGATATAAATTTGTGGAGAAAACGAGATCTTGATACGAATATAGTATACATTAAAACTACAATAACCGTAATTGTTATTCGTGTACCTAGACGCCCTTGACAATAATCTGTGTTTCTTCAAAGAAGAGACAACTCTGGCAGCCTACGCATAATATTGAATGGAAATTGCGAAGACCATAGTGCCTTCGTTCTCATCCATTTAAAGTTTCGAGCCTCTTTCTACTTTTCTAAATACTTTAATAAAAAAAACGCTGATCTGAAGCACATATAAAATTGTCTGTAGATAAGGTAACCTAGTGATGTTCGCAGATATCACCCTAATACCCCAGGATATTGGGTATCTCATGATGTGACTCACCCTACCCATATAACTGACTTACTTGATGTCTTGTTGTGAGTGTAGAATACCCCCTGCTGAAGAAAAAAAAATTCTTCGTTTTTATATCAAATAGGTGTTAAAACCGTGAATAATGCGAAGTTTTGGGGCCAATTTTAAGTAAATTATGAAAAATAATAATTTTAATCATTGTAATTTAGACGTAATTAAAAATATCAATTTCAAAATTGACCTAAAGATTATAGTAGTGATACAGCACGTGACAGGTGGACTGGAAGAATAATTACTCACCCTTTTAAAGACCACGTGACCCCTTCTGACCTCATCGCCCCAAACACTAAAAAGTCTTACGACCAATTTTGTCGTTAGTATGGTATCACTCATTATAAATTCCACAGTTACGATAAAGTCTTATCAGAGATATTTTGTTGAAAAGACCCTGATTCTCATTTCATCTTCCAAAAACTTTCAAAAATAAAAAAGTAGCATCTTTGGGGTCACCGGAATCGCGAAATTTTATCTTTGGTGTGGGAATTACTTAAAATCATGTCTTGTGGTGAAATTGGTCACCGTAGAAGGACCGCAAACAAGATAAATTCCACCATTTGGCAAAGGTTAAAGTTGAATTCGAGAGACAAAACGTTGCGGTTAATTTAGTCCAGGACTGCCACTTTTGGCCCTGCGATTTTCTGAAATATGCCTTTATGCATGTGCCTTTGCGCATACCTGAATTACAGATAAGATGTGATTCTATTCAAAGATTCATAAATCTTCCTTCCTTAAAGGGATTGTAAAAAGGTTTTCTAAACTATATCAGTGACATTGACAGCACCAATTTACACCATTCCAATTTCCAATCAAACGTCTGTGCTTCTAGCAATTACACTAAAACTGAGTGTTATGACGTCACTAAAAAAATATGCTTTATAACATAAGGTCCTTTGCGATTAGTGACGTCATCAAACACCTAGTTTTAGTGGAATTGCAGGAATCACAGACGTCGGAATGGAAATTGGAATGGTGTAAATTGATAATATTAGTGTCCACGATACACATAAAAATTTTAGATAACCTCTTTACAATCATAAATTTCATAATAGGCCTACATAACAGAAGTTCCGAATGGGGAGGTGTCTGGGGTGAGGATTGGTTCCCAATGTAACTTTTATTGCACTAGAGCATTTTTACACCCCAAAGAAATTTATCAAAGCTATGGCCAATATGTGGAAAATCGAAATGGTTAATTCGAATAGTGACCATTTTGTACTTGTACATGTCTGCTAGCTTGACATAGTAGCCTAGCACCAGCACAGTCAACTTGTTAGGTTTCACATTACAGCACTAATTAAAAAAATAATAAATAATAATCGGTAATCTTGAATTGGTCATTAAAATCATTTCCACATCTGGGCCATGTCCACTATCGATATTAATATCTTATCTTTTATATTTTTTCATTTCGATTTTTACACATTTTACCCTAAAACTTGTTTCTGCGTTTCTGAGATAATTAATGACTTTTGGCACCAAAAAAGTATAAATTTGAGAAAAATATCAGTCTTTATCATTGGACATTCAATCGTCTTAATAACTTAACATACCTTACCATACCAAGTAAGTTGAACATTTATTTTTCTTTTTTTCAAGACCAAGTGGAAATATTATTTATCTTTTCATGTTTTATTTTACGAGTATAACACTTTTAGCAAAGATTGTCAATATACGCTTCAAATAATAGCTTTTTCGATAGAGCAACCAGACGCATATACCAACCCTTCCGGTGGGGGTGGCTTGCATGAATGATGTTACTATAGAGGCAGGGCATGCTCAACCCTCCACATCATCTAATTTGGTTTGTCAACTCGGCATCTCAGAGAGTCCACCACCTGGTGTGTTTTATTTTGTATTAAGATTCGTGAACTCGGCATTCGAAGGGTCCACTTATCTAATGATGATGCTTGAGTATATTTTTGGCTCTCTGAATAAATTCGGATCTCGGAGGTCTACCTGTATACAGCGTCCTCCTCGGGTATTAGGGCTACTTACAAGGCCTAGAAGCTAAGGTACAGCATGGGACAAGGGTTTAATTAATCCTTTCTACATGTACATAACGAGTTAGGGGAATGGTACAATTCCACACATAAAAATTCACATAGATTGGACCGACTGCTCTATTCCAATGAAGACATATCCACTCAACCAGTCTCACTTTTTTTAGGATTCAGAATGAAGTGTGTAGCTATTTTTGCCGTTGCTATGGTTATGGTGATGATGCCTGAATCCGAGGCTCTGTTGAATCTGTTGAATGGAGGTGGAGGTAATGGCGGTCTGCTCGGTGGTGTTTTGGGAAATAACGGTTTACTGGGAGGTATCTTAGGATCAAACGGTTTACTCGGAGGTCTGTTGGGACAAAATGGTTTAGTTGGAGGTCTGTTGGGATCAAATGGTTTAGTTGGCGGTGTTTTGGGAGGAAACCGACAATCAGTTGAAGCCAGTGCCATGGTTTTGGCTAAACTGAACGCTGGAATCAGTGATGGTGTCGTTACTAAAGCTGAACTGGGAGCTGCTTTGAATTTGGGTGGTGGCGATTTGGATGGTATCTTGGCTAACATCGATCTCAACGGTAAGTTAATGGACTGATTCAAAGTTAGGCTACACAATTATAGTGGATCAAATGTCAAAATGCCAAATGTCAAAATCATTGTTGAGGGGACTCCAACTTGTCATGCAGTCTAACTAATGGAGACAGAAGTTCGTCTTTGAGGAAGTAACCAATGAAAGGTACGATAGGTAAAACGTCATAAGATTCCATATGCTGCTATCGACTGGGCCACAACCCGTCCCTCAAAGATAACGTTAAGACCCCCCATAGAATGAATTGACATTAAATTGAAATTGAAATAAATCTCTTCCATTCTAGAAGTGTAATCTTTATTGATAATCTTTTTTCAGTTGATGCTAAAATTGATTTGAAAGAACTTCTAGATCTGGAAATCCTGGTTGTCTGTAAGTAGACTATTCCATTACTCTGATATTCCAATTCAGGTCTCAAGTGTAAATTGTGCGCATCATATCACAAATACGGGCTTTCACATGGTCTAAAGGAAGTATGCCGAATGGGGCCTGGTTTGGACACGATACGTTGTGTACCAAATTTATGACTACATTTACGACTAGTCAAGTTATCTATATTTTGTGTTGTATTTTGCATGAATAACGAGCCTCAATTGTTATGCAGGGGACATTTTCATTAACCCGCTAGAACACCTACAGGAATTCTGATTTGTGTCTTTAACCCACTTTTCTCAGCTATTTAGTCAAATAAGTATGTCAGAACCCGTATTTCGATACAGTGTTTGACAACAACCCCTGATTTAAGATAAATTTTACTAGCCCAAATTTAAAAGAAAACCTCTTTTTAATTAATACATTGTTTAATATATTCTACTTTCAGTACAAGGTCTTTTAGGTTTAGATCTAGGTAACATCTTAGGTAACCTTAGCAACTTGGGTAACCTCGGTAACATTGGAAACCTTGGTAACCTAGGAAATGTTGGTAACGTTGGAAACCTTCTCGGTCGATAAATTTCACTGATTTTGTCAACATGAAATATGAAATAAAAAATTGAGCAATTAATTTTATTTTTTTGAAAAGTGGAACACTGTAGTTGTAGCGGGGAATCAACTGCGATCATCTTCGACCGTCTTAAGTAGCTATTGCAGGTATAAGACTAAGTTCGTTATAGCTTGACTTTGTGAAGATGGTCACAGTTAATAACAACTACAGTGATTTCAATTCCCACAGGTCACTATTTTATAACAGAAATCGTCGTATTGAACACTAAAAAAAACTCACCCGACATTCTGGATAACTAATCGTCCTGACAATGACTCATCTGAAACTCTTGTAAGCGTCCGGATGTCCCTTGACATCGTAGTCTGTACTTCATAGCAGCATGTCAAACTATATCAAAAACCTTGCTGAAATCGTTAAAATACTACCCATGATTGTTTGCAGTCGGATACGAAAGGAACCAGCTAAATCTCTAGTAGATGTCCTCAGGTCCAATGAGATGTAAGCCTCGGCTGATAGCAGCATATCAAACTATATCGAAAGCCTTGCTGAAATCGTTAAAATACTACCCATGTATATCATTTGGACGAGCCTTTGGTATCGGTTATCGTTTCTTTAAAGGAATTTCAGTCAGACGTCTGTTGTTCTTGCAATTCCACTTAAACTAGGCGTTTGATGACGTCACTCTCACAAAGGTTCATTAGCTGCCTGTTATAATGACGTCATCAAACACTTAGTTTTAGTGGAATAGCAGGAACCACAGACGACTGATTAAAAATTGGAATGGTGCAAATAGATGCTATCTGTGTCCGCGATACATATAAAAAGCCAAGAAACTTTATAACCCCTTTAAACATCACGTGTCCACGTAATCAATCATTCTTTCATTGTTCATTTCAACTTAATAATAATTTTACAACTTTTACAAAATATGCATATTAAGTAGCCACGTGACGCACTAATTTGCATATTTTTTCACATGTAGCTTTTAGATATGAAATTACACCTTCTCTTATCTTACAATATTTACATACTCCATTACTCACCCCTCAGGTTTCTTTTCTTCTCCCCTAGTAAAAAATGTGTTGAAGCAATTCTTGAAATTAATTGAATTTGACACAATGACGGTATATAATCTTGAAGAATTTTCAACAAATCATCCGAAGTTTGAAGATTTCAAGTTCAGGTATAATTTCAAGTCAAGTAAGTATAGTTTAATTTCTTATCAAGCTAGCGATATAGACAGACTGAACAGTGTCAGTCAACCAAAACTTATTCAGAGAGTCCACATAACTATTTTGGTTCTTATCATTGAAGTCTATTTGTAATTTGCTTTTCTATAGGACCGTTTCTATTAACCAACTCACGTGGAGGAAAGTAGGATGTAAAACTCCATTAATTTCATTTCATTTTTCTACAGGATGAAGATCGCAGTTGTTTTCGCCGTCGCCATTGTCATGCTGTTGAGCCAGGAGTCGGAGTGTATAGTTGGCGGTCTGTTGGGAAGTGGAGGTGCAGGCGGTCTGTTGGGAGGTGCAACTGGTCTGTTGGGAGGTGCAAGTGGTGGAGTTAATCTGCTAGCCACTATTACAGCCGCTGTAACTAACGGTGGTATGACCAGAGCTGCTCTACAGGCCTTACTGAACATTGATTTGGACTTATTCAACACCCTCTTTGCTCAGATTGACCTCAATGGTGAGTATTGATTGAGAGGGGGGAGAGGGTAACGGGGTGAGGTGAGAATTAATTGGGGTGGGGATGGGGAAGAGGGGGAGGTGAGTATTGATTGAGAGGGAGGAGGGGGGTGAGTATTAATTGGGGGTAGGGGGTAGATTTATTGGATTAAAGAGGGATTCTGTTATATAGTTATGACACCAGGTAAGTCCACTAATGAATATACGAGGATGTTTACCTTTTATAATACACTTCATGTTGTAGTGAAAGTATTTTTGTTGATATTTTCAGTAAACGGTATGGTAGATCTTAATGAACTTTTGAATCTTCAGGTTCTATTGGCTGGTAAGTCATACAATATTACTCTATATGGTATATTCTACATCCATACCAAACTACTCGTCTGACCTAGTTACCAGAATCAGATCACGAACTAAGTTGACCACCATGTAAGAGGACTGACTCAAACTGAACATCCATTCTAATCTGGCAACACGTGAAATACTCAGTGATATATTCTACATCTTTACAATGACATGGATGGTTATTTTGCCAGAGCACCCTCTGTAGCCCCAGACCCCGCTAATTGAATATCACAATGTTTTATGAAACCACTTGGAGACTGTAACAATCTATTGGTATTGTCTATCTTTCAGCACAAGGTATTTTGAGTGGAGTTGTACCTGTTGGTAGATAGATGATAACAGTCACATGAATTAACATGGAGTTATCTTAATACCAATCAACATGATATCA